AGCGAGTGCCCTGGGCCTCTGGAACTGGCACTGGGCCCCACTGACAGAGCCTGGCCGCCTCCCCACAGATGCTCACACCCCCTGAGCCTGCTCTGAGCAGCCCCAGCTCCCCCCGCCTCTCCGCCAGTGCCATCAGCACCTTGGTGGTCCCTGCGGGTCTCTCCCCAGTATGTCCGTGTCTCGCACTGGGCAGCCCGGCACTGGACCCAGCACTCACGGGGTGGCCTCGCCAGCTCCGAGCAGAGGGGCAGGACCCACCCTCAACCTGCTGGCAAGGCTTTGTCCCACGCAGCCCACGACACCGTTCCCCTCTCTGCAGCAGGGGCGTGTCGCTGGCTCGTGATCAGCCTGGTGTCCACCAGCTCCCCGGGGTTGTTCTTCCTATCCAGGTGCCCCCAGCGTGTCCGGGTGCCGGGGGTTGTTCCTCCCCAGGCTTTGTGGTCTCCTTGTTGAGCTGCATGAGGTTCCTTCTGACCTGTGTCCCCAGCCGGGCTGGTAGTACGTCCCTCCCTGTCCCTGCTGCGATCCATCTGCTGCTGCTGGAGATTTATCCTCAGGGTTGTCCCCAGACACAGGACCATGGAGTGTAACTGTAAAAACAACCCAACAAAATACAAAATCCGGGCTTCCTTTAGCCATTTTGTCAGCACCATCTCCAGAGGTTAAATCCCCCTGGGATGTGCCAAGTGTTCCAGGTTGCTGTGCTGATCCTGGTGCCCTCCAAGGGCTTTTCTGAGCTTCACCCTAGAATTTATTAAATCTTTACGTGAGCTTTTCACGTCCCTGTCAGCAGCCCGGGGAGCTGTTGCTGCGGGGGCGGTGGCAGGGCTCGCGCTCTGGGGTTGCCTCTCAGCGGACCCCGGGGCTCTCAGCCTCCCACTGCTGCCGGCAGCTTGGATGCAGGGAACGTGGGTGCTGCCGCTGCATGTGACTCTCCGGAGGGTGATTCTGGATGGCAGCCGGCTGGGAAATGCCTCTCCTGGTTCTTCCTGCTTGTAGAACTGTGATTTTTCCAGGAGGGGTGTGCTGGGTGCTGCCGCGGGCTGGAGGTGATGCAGCCGTGGACAACCAGCCTTCCCGCAGCCCCAGGACGTCCCGCTGGGCTGTGGTTTGGGTTGGTTTCTTCCCTGCGGTGTGCGAAAGCTGATGGCAGGGGTTTGTTTCTTATCCTGCTGCGGAGGACCGCGTCTCCTCCTCTGAGGGCCGGGGTGTGTGTCTTGCAGGCAATGGAGTACCAGGGCTGGGCAGACACGCTCTTCGTCATGCAGTTTACGCTGTCTTGTGTGATGGGGTAAGGATGCTCGTTGCAGCGGGTCCTGCCCACCCCCCAGGGCTGGGGTGGCACCGGTGGCTGGGTGTAGGGGAGGGGTCTCTGTTCCAGAAGTAGGGTGTTTTGGTGGCTATTCTGGGTTAAAAAATAGCAATAAATCTTTAGTCGTGACGGGGACACCATTTCTGAGAGCTGTGGCAGGTGGAAGTTGTTTCCTACCCTGGTTTAGTGCAGGTTTAGCCAAAATAGTGGTGGGATAAACTACAGCTTGGTTTGGGTTGGAAGAGACCCTAAAGCCCACCCAGCCCCACCCCCCGCCATGGGCAGGGACACCTTCCATAGACCAGGTTGCTCCAAGCCTCATCCAGCCTGACTTTGAATACCACCCTAGGAAAGAGGGGGGAGGGATGCTGAGAGGAATGGTGATGCCCCAAACGTGTCCTGGAGCCTGATGCCGTCTCTTCCTCCTGCAGGTTTATTCTGATGTACTCCACGGTTCTTTGCACTCAGTATAACTCTGCTCTTACAACTACAATAGTTGGCTGCATTAAGGTAGGTGGTTTCTCCGCTCCCAGGGCTGGGGTGGGGTGAGCATTGCACCAGTCGCTGCCTGGGGCTCACATTAACCAGCCGCTTTAGCTCTTGGAGCAGGGGGCTCATGGAGCAGCGGGGACATGCCCGGCACTGCGTCTCTCTCCGGCTCTGCATGCCCAGGGCACGTGGCAGGGTGCTGCTGCCTGCAGGGGTTATCCCAGCAGAAGTCGGGATAAGCTTGGGGCACCCACAGCTTCCCTGCACTGCACGGAGAGAGGACAGCTGATTTTGTTTAGTTAATTGTTTTTTTGCTGCTGTCTGGGGCAGGGAGATGCTGGGTGCGTGTTTGCCTGGTGGGTTGGTGCTGTTAGCGTCCCCGGGGCAAACAGCCTGCAAAGTGCCTGGAAACAGCCACAGTCCTCTGGGTCCCCTCTGAAAAACCAGATTCCTGGGCATTATTCCAGGGTTGGGTGGCCAAGACTGGCCTGGAATCGAGGGACAGCACGGCAGCACCGTCCCGCCACCTCAGCAACCAAACCCTCCGACCGGGAGCGTTTCCCAGCGGCGCTGATCCCATCCGCGCTGTCTCCAGCGCTGCGGGCGCTTGCCTGTCTCACTGCCTGCATCCAGGGTTTCCCGTTTCCATATTGCTTTAACGCCTAGAGCGCGGCTCGTCTCGGGCTGCGCAGAAACTTGTGTTCCTGCTCCTCAAATCTTTTTCCTTTGCAGAATATTTTAATAACCTATATTGGGATGTTTTTTGGAGGAGACTATATTTTTACATGGACGAACTTCATTGGTCTAAATATCAGGTAAGAACATCGGGTGTTCGCGGTTCCAATTTATGACTTGCAAGTGGAGATTGCCGGGAAGCATGGACGGTTTGACTGGCTAAATGCTTCTTTCAAAAAAAAACCCCAACCCCAGACCCCAAGGAATTGGTGTTTGTGCTGCAGCAGAGGAGCCGGCGTGGCGCTGAGCCCCGGGGCGAGCCCCGCGCTCCACTCGGTCCCTGCTTACAGCTCAGGCTGTGGGGAGCTCCCGAACAGACGCCGGTTGTTCCGAAGCCAGGAAAAGGCAGAGCGTAGCTGAGCAGACAACTGAAGCTGTTCTCAGAGTTGTGTAGCTGAATCATATCATTAAGGTAGCAAAGAAGTAGTTTTTGGGTCACTTCGCCTGGTCTTTTAGCACAGCATTTGGCAAACTCTCCCTCTGCTCTGGGGTGTGTTTCTGAGTTGTGAAATCCTCCTTGTTCCCCGCTCCTTCCGCAGGATTCCTGCAGTGATGGAGCAGGTCTGGCACGAGGCTAGGGGCTCGGGCTGGCAAGCATTTGGGTCCAAATTAAGGAAAATACCTGCTCTTAGGAGGAAAACCAGCCTTTTCATGCGGACTGATGCTGGCAGCAGACCTCTGACTGTTGGCAAACCCACGGGTTTGACCGTGGCAGCTGGTCTTCGTGGCTGCCCAGGGCAGGTCCATCTAACGACTGATCGTGGGGTGAGGGGCATCCCTGGAAGTGTCCAAGGCCAGGCTGGATGTGGCTTTGAGCAACCTGGTCTAGTGCAAGGTGTCCCTGCCCATGGCAGGGGGGTTGGAACTGGATGATCTTTAAGGTCCCTTCCAACCCAAACCATTCCATGATTCTATGATCTGGGGGCTGCGGGAGGGACATCGGCTGAGAGCGTGCTGAAGCGTGCAGCTCCGCGGTGGGACATCTCACTCGCCTCCTGTTCTGCAGTATTGCTGGAAGCCTGGTGTATTCCTACATCACTTTCACGGAGGAGCAGATGAGCAAGCAGTCTGAAGCTGGCCTCAAGATGGATATTAAAGGAAAAAGTTCCGTGTGACCAGGGAAGCGCTCGTGTTGGAAGCAACCCGTTTCTGTTCAGCTGATAACGGGCGGAATGCAGGAAGGAATCCGGCGCATCCGCCATGGAGTAACGGTGATGCTCGTAATTTGCACAAATCTAGATTGCTGCCTTTACAAATCACTGGGAAGGTAACTGACTGCACGGCGAAGAATACGTCTAATTAAGTCTGATCATGAGGAATTAATGGATTTCCAATCATGCTGGCATCTGGCAGGAGACTGGCACCGGGCGTTGAACCCTGTCCGCTCCGAGGGCCGTGCCCTGAGCATCCTCAGCCGTGTCCTCTCGGTGCAGCTACCGCCCAGGCGGTGGGCGCGGGGGGGCCGGCTCTGCCCCATGCCTCCTCCGGCCGGGCAGCACACCGGGAGCCCACGGTACCCGCCGCGGCTCCGGCCTCGAGGCAAGTGAACCCCCCAGGGAGCAGAACTGCGGGGCTGCAGCGAGGTGAGCGCGGGTATTGGCGCTGCTGCAGGAGGCTCCAGATTTGGGCCATAAACCCCCGTGCTGAACGCTCAGCGCTCCCTGAACTTACATTTGTTAGTTGTCTGGGGGGGCTTTTTGTTCTGTTAACCCACTTTTAAAGCTGGGTTTACCCTCCTTTGTTTCTGAGAGCCCTGCATTCACCCCGAGGCTGCTTTTACGAGGCTCAGGGACGTTCCCGACGGGAAGGTTTTGCCCACCGTGGGTGAGCTCACACCGCAGCACCAGCATTCGGCTCTGGCCAAGCCCTGGCCCCAGGTTCGTATTTTTGATGTAGTTCAGTCCTCTTTGGTTTGTGACCCGTTGAAAGAACGGGGTTTTTAACACGTCAGGCTATGTTAAGTGATTTTTAAAGGTTGTCTTACACAGCACTTCTTTCTAGGTCTCTCCTTGGATTGTCTTTTGGTTTAAAAAGAGTTGTTTATAATAATTTTGGTTAAAAAAAGAAAGAATTCTTTGTAAAACGATGAGGTTTTTGTATACATTCCTTTGTAACCAGGGAAATTGCTTCTGTGGACGATGTCATTTGTTTCTGGCAGATATTTGCTAACGCTGCACCTGCTGGTTGGCAGAGCTGGTTATTGGGGTGCTAACAGGGACGTTTTCCTAGGCAGCAGTCTCTGTACAGAGCTGCGGAAGCTGGCAGACGCAGAGCGAGTCAGACCTGCTCCCAAAATCCCCTCCTGGGAGTTGTTCTGGCCATGGATACCCATGATGTCTCCGTACCGCAGCTGGGGTTGTTCCTTCCCCCTGGGGGGCTGCTTTTTGGGGGGCAGCAGGATGGTGAATGCGTGTAGTGAGGGGATGGTGTGGTTGCTCTATTTGTAACTCCTGTAGAGGTGAGTGGAAGGTTGAGTTGGTGGGTCCTGAGGTGAGGATCAGCCCTGGGATGGGACCCCCTTCGGAGTGCAGGATCAGAGAAAGAAAAGACACCCCTTATTTGTAACTCCTGTAGAGGTGAGCGGAAGGTTGAGTCCGTGGGTCTTAGGATGGGACCCCCTTCAGAGTGCAGGATCAGAGAAAGGAAAGACACCCCCCCCATCACTTTTACTGCTTCCTCAGTTTCAGCAAAGCCTCGGCTCTGCAATCAGCTGCTGAGCTCCTCTTTTTTGTGGGAAAGATGAGAAATGCTTCTCCCAGAGCTACTCCCCATCGGCTCCAGGCGGGTTACTGGTCCCTGCACTGGTTCCCAGCAGCTGGGCAGTGCTGGGGCCAGCAGACCCCCACTTTGGGCTCCCCAGTCCCTCCCCAGCCCGCTCTTTCAGCCGGGCCTGGGCCTTCGTCTCGCTCGCAGGAACAGAAATACTTGGGAATCGCTTTCACCAGGGTTGCACGGAAGGCGGCTGTGCCGAGGAGTTTGCCATCAGGATGTTGATTAAGTTTTGATTTTTGTTTGTTTCTGAATCTGCTGGTTAGATTTGTTGTCCAAAGGGTAACGTGTTTTTAGAGCTTGTTTTGTCTGTGACTGTGCACGCTTTGGTGCCAGGCTCGGGAGTGTATTGTGTACACTGGGAAAGAACAGAGTTCCCACAGCAGTATTTTCTATGCTATTAATCAACTAAAATCTTTTCTACATAGAATCTATTTACAAAAATGCCCATTTTAGTGATTAAAAGGGTGACCTTTTTCTTTGAATGTACGGCAGGCTTTCTATGTCGGTCAGTGACGACAGCAACAAAGGATTTTATGTGCCTATGTATTTTTGTACTGGCTTCAAATAAACCAATGACCTTCCCTCCTCCTCCTCTCTGTCCCGCTGCCAGGAGCTGGCCCTTGCTTCCCAGCAAGAAGATACAGGCTGGGTATGGTGATAAAAAAGGGGTGAAGCTGGGCTGCCGCCAGTTGGAGGGTGCTTGTTGTACCTTCTGCCTGTCTTTGGGTATGGGTAGAGGGAAGTCACTGTGGTTTTTAGCTTTAAATATTCTTTGAGGATGGGAAAAGATCCTAAGAGGGGAAAACCACAACAAATGAGTCCAAAAAGTGCTAGTGCTTTGCCTAACTCAGACCCTTTCTGGCTCCTGCCCGAGCTGTTAGTGGGCCCTGGGTATGTTTTGTGGGGATGGAGCAGCCCATGAGGTGCTGAACGCTCCCGTTCAACAACGGGGTGGGTGCTCTGCCTGCCAGGCACCTGCAGAACAGGAGCCCAGGCTGGTTCTGTCAGCACGATGGGCTGAGCTGGCAGGGCCTGGCTGGCACCCAGAGCACCCCTCTGCTGCAGCTCAGGCAGGAGCAGGCCCTGCTGTTCCTCCTGCTCTCTGGGGCTTCCTCCAGGGAGGGAGAGACAGCCACGTTCTGACTTACAGGGCCGCTGCCTTAGAAACAGAATCTAACTGGTCAGCTGTAACTCACGGCTAAGCCATGGCCGCCTGTCCTCCTCCTGGCCTCTCTGTCCATTTAAGCTCCCCAGGCTGCCCCTCCAGCTGCTCCGAGTAATGCCCGGCTCTGGTCTGTGTTACCAAGGGTGGGAGAGGGACCTGCTTTTGGGGGAAAGAAAGAAACAGTTGAATCAGCAAAGGGTGTTTTGTTTCCTGTGGTTTTCCCTGCAGCAGGGGGACGTCCCACCCTCTGAAACAGGAATACTCTCCCCCCTTCTTTTGGTCAAAACACTCAGGAATTTTTTTTGTGCAGACAGTATGTTTAAAAAAATATTTTAATATGCTTTTTCAGAGTTGCAGACAGGGAGTGGGATGAGAGAAGGGAACGACTAACAGTGCAACATTACCGTGTGTGGAAAAATGTATTAACCAGTTTGTAAATCCTGTGTGCGCATGCGTGGTTGGTTTAGTACCACATTTAATGCAAAAGGCCAGCAAGGCCTCACGCTCTCGAACCAGATTCTCCCTCCAGGCAAAGCACTCTGGGAATCCAGGACACCCACTCCAGCTGAACCCGCCACGTCAGTGGTGGAAAACCATACCCAAGCGTCACACGCGACTCATCGTTTTGGTGGGGTTGGAAACACGTCTCAAATGCTTCTGGGCTCCAAACTGTCCCCGAAAGCTTCCGAAATGAAATCAAAGTTACTCTATTTCCAGAATTTTAAATAGCTTTAGTAGTGCAATGACTTCCCGAGTTATAGTGGCTGCGTTTCCAGGAACAAGAACAAAGTATTGTATAAAACACTGGCATAAACAAAATGTGAATTATAATTAAATATTCTTAAAGTCTAGCTCAGCATTACATAGTTGATTATGGAATGTCAGGTTTCTTCTACGTTATCACCAAAAAAAAAAGGTAAGATAAAAAAACAAAGCAACATTCCTGAAAAATATACACAGTGCTGTATCTCCCACACAAGCCTGAGACAATTCCCTTGCAAACTTTCCTATGGATTTCTGCAAGTATTTCCAGCCTGCAAACAAAAAGGCAGAAAAATAAACCTGAAATTAGGACTCTGGCTGCAAAGGCTCTCGGCAGCATGGCACTGCCCTCAGTCTGAAACAGTCTCACCGGCATCTCTGATACAGGGTCGTGACACCCGAGTTTCCACTCACAAACCAGACTGTAAAATTCACAGCAAACTCCTGCTAAAGCGATTGATGGATTGATTGATGCTGTTAACGAACCTTCCTGACGTGCCTCTCCACGCAAACGGCTGATTCTGGGCAGATCAACTCCTGCGCATCAGCTGAACCGGGCAGAACGGCTCACTCGCAACGTTTCTGGGAGCGGCAGGTTAACACGCTCCGGTAACTCATCCTGGTGCAGGAGCCAGGCTGGATCCAGAGGATTTGGCTCGTTAATGACCATAAAGTCCAAGAACACGTAGGTGAAAAAGAAATAAAACCAAGCAAAACCCTTAGCAGTTGGTTTTTAGGCTGATGCATTAGTTTCAAACCATAGAACCGTACATTTTGTAAAGACTGATAAACTTCAAGGAAAAATAACCAATTAAAAGTAAAGAGCACACCGGCAAGCTATGGGAGGCAGAGAGAAGAACAGAAATTATACAAATGAACAATTTTTCCCATTCTGAATACAGTAGATGTGTAGCTGTGGCTTAAAAGTAATACTGAAACAAAACACTGGTGTTAAAAACTCTCCGTTTCATGGCTGCGAACCCTACGTCAACAGCTTTCAAATCAAGGTGGTGGGACTGAGCATCACCCCTCCACCTGCATTTATAAAGAATTCTCGTTCCTCACACTTTAATATTAAAATAAGTTACCCACACCTACTCTCCCTTCTTACACCTGCGTCCTTATAGAGTGACTCTGCACACCAAGCACGTGTACGTGACGTTCCTGCCCGCAAGACCCATCCCTGGAAAGCCCACTGGCTTTCGGGAGTTCAGGGTCAGGCACCAGGCTGCCAGCTGCACGTCCGTTCCTAACCCGTACAGCCAGACTCCATCGGGCCTTTTCCCACCCTTCCTGCGCTCAGTGAGGCGTGGAAGATGACAGACTCAAATCAGTGGATAATCTAACACCCCATCTTGGCGAACGGGGGTTTAGTAAACTTAAGCATTTGGGTGACGTGAGATTTATCTGAGCTCAAAGGTAAACGAGAAAGCGTCTAACGACAGGAAGGAAATCTGTGCAAGGCAAGCATCGTGCTTAACGCGTCTTCAGCACTGCCACTGGCCATAAACCAGAAGAAAAATCATGTGTTCCAAATCAAAAGACCTCTAACCCTTCTTGGTGTGAGTTGTTTTCTGAGGAGAAAAGAAGATGGTGGTGACTAGTAAGCGTTTTTAAGTCGATTGGTTTGGTTTGGGGTTTTTTTGTTGTTTTTTTAGAAAAGACCTCAGCAAAATAAAACGAAGCTGACATTAGACTCAGGATATCAATTCTCTCATAAAAGTTTACCAACTGTACAAGTTAAGAAAATTATACAAGCTTTTGTTTTAAGAAAGGACAGTTCAATCGAGACATAAGTACTGTAAAAATCTTTCAAAGGCTACAAAGAAATCTGGAAAAATACAGAATGTATTTCTTTAGCCCAGATAAAGAATATGGAAAGACATCATTGATGTCAACAATTTTACATATACAAACCTCACCTGGTTTATTTATTTACCTTTTAAAACTTCTATATATAAAAATAGTTGTGCTCCTAACTTTCAGGATTCATAAGGTTTCCTTAACAACGGGATGACACTTTTTCTCTTGCTAGCACGACTGGAAGTCTCCGTTTTCGGCATTCTGGATTTCGGTTTAGCTTCCTGCAACATCTGAACCAGCCCTTCTGCTTCAAACAGGATGCTCTGTTTGCTTGTCCGAGGCTTAAATCGTGTACTGCTCAGCGAAGTTTCTTAAAGAAAGGCTGGGAGTGTTTTTGCAGAAACTCACTGATTCGTTTCTCAAATACTTAAGAGCTTTAGAGTTCCCAGAACTACGGTTGCCAGCTCTGGGAAATGGAATATTCTCCTACTGCTTTTTCAGCACTGAAAAAAAACCCCCTCCAAATAATCATATCTTAAGAGCCAACTAGAAGGTGTGACGAAAAATCTCAGCAGGCTGTTTTACGAACTGGATTTTGCAAGGTAACCCATCAACCCTGAAAATTTTAGACACCCAAAATTTACTCCAAGGAATAAAATCAGCTCCTAGTATTCAGTCATCCAAAGTTTCTAGTTCTTCAAGCTTCCCATGTGAGTTTGCTTCTTGGAAAAACTCTGAAGACCCTGGGCTCTCTTTTCCGTTGCTGTTAATTCTTCTTCTTTTTAGAGGTCTTTCGGTTTTTTCTTCAAAATCGTTTTCATTTCTTGAAGCTGAATGAGCGAGTTTGGGGTCAATGGAAAGGTTTTCAGTTTCATACCCATTTGTATCCAGATCCGTGTGAGGTGTTTTCTTGCCACTGGCAGGTCCGTTTACATGCAGTCCTTCAGTTTTTGCTTCCTCTTTGTTTGGCAGCTCACCTGGCCCGTTGGCAGACACCCCTAGAGCACAGACATAGCCCAGGAGGGAGAACAGAAGTGTAAGCAGTGGCAGAACCATCAGTGACAGCTCAACAGAGCAGCAGTCAGACTACTCCCAGTGAACTAAAAGGCCTTAGTGGAAGAAGTGAATAAATGTGTTCTGAGCTGGCTCATCTCCCGTTACCACCATAAACTGAGACTTACTCAAAATCTTATTATCACAGGCGGGGAGAGTTGGGGTGTTCAGCCTGGAGAAGGGAAGGCTCCGGGGAGACCTTACAGCACCTTCCAGTGCCAGGGGGGTACTACAGGAAAGCTGGGTGGGGGGTCTTTTGCCAAGGTCAGGGAGTGACAAGACAAGGGGTAACAGGTTTAAACTGGAAGAGGGAGATTGAGATGGGGCATCAGGAAGGAATTCTTCCTGGAGAGGGTGTGGAGCACTGGGACAGGTTGCCCAGAGAAGCTGTGGATGCCCCATCCCTGGAAGTGTCCAAGGCCAGGCTGGATGAGGCTTGGAGCAACCTGGTCTAGTGCAAGGTGGCCCTGCCCATAGCAGGGGGGTTGGAACTAGATGATCTTTAAGGTCCCTTCCAACCCAAACCATTCTAAGGTTCTATGATGCTATAAATATGGGACACTGGCTAAATGCAAACGCAGCTTTTTTTAAAAAATACTTTTAACTGAAAGCTCCTAACACCTTGGAAAATACTTAAAACTAAGATAGGCTTGTTTTCAGAAAGGCAAGCTGAACTTCTCATTTGGCTTGTCATCTGTGACCGTTCGGCAGCTCCATTTTGGAGGCAGAGGGCACGCACTTACCATTCTGATTGCTGTTGCTGGTTGTGCTGTCTTCCCTTTCAGACTGGCTGGTGCTGCTGTTGGAAGTGGTAGGAGGAGGGGACGGAGCTCTACTGGAAGCAGCACTTTCACTTTCATCCAGTAGACGGTCCATATAATCTCTACACAACAGAAACAGCACATTCATCAGTGCCCTTGCTGTGTAAAGGGTTGGTGTTATTTGTACAAAAATATTCACTGCATATGCAGAAGTGAAAAACACCTTTAAAAGAAGGCTCCAGGGAGACCTTATAACACCTTCCAGTCCCTGGGGGGGCTACAAGAAAACTGGGAGGACATTTTACAAGGGCCTGTAGTGACAGGACAAGGGGTAACGGGTTTAAATTGAACGTAGAGGG